TATATATATATATATATATATATATATATATATATATATATATATATATTTATACGAAATAATACAATTATAAAATAATGATAAAAGAAATATTTCAACTGCTCGGAAAAAAATTTATCAAAATGGGATAAGATAAAAAGAGAATAAGAGAGCGAAAGAGATCGAAAAATCGAAAAGAAGATCGAATACGCGATCGACGTGCATCTCTCGATATAGTTATCGCGTAAACGATGCGTGAACGTGTGTGCGTGCGCGCGACGAGGACAGAGGGTTGGATTCCGCTCACCACACCCTCTTCATCCCTAATCCTAGGACGAACTGGATAACTGTATGACGCCAATACATTTGTGCCGCGTAACACGAAAAGGACGACGAATGCTTAGCATCGTCTGCGCATGACCGATCAATGCCCCTTCCTTCTCCGCAATCACCCCTCCTGACGAGCGACTACTACGCTACTACTGTACGTATACGCCCGACCACGTACCACCCCACCACCCTGCTCCCAGCGAACTAGGACTACAGCCCCTTTTCTTCGTACAGCCCTGCTCTGTCGCTACCTCTGCCGCCCATCCCACCCGCCACTTTCACCCCCTAGGTTTCCAGAACGAGAGGAAGATCAAGAGGAGAGCGCAAAAGGAGGAGAAACGTTCAGAGGTGGAGTGAAGAAAAGACTTCCAAGACACGTCGAGACTTCTGTTTTTCCCTCTGGAGATTTCGGCAGGTTTTCACACCGTCTTTACGTGTCTTTTCACCGATGTCTCTACTTCCTGTCTTTTTGCCGAGTATTCCTTCTATACCTCCTACTCTTTTCTTCATGCAATGCCATGAATCTTCAATTCGATGGATCTACTCTGGATAAAAGTCTCTCTCTCTCTTCTCACGGAATAGAATTCGATATCTCGCCGTTTCTCGAACGATATTCTTTATTCTCGTATCTTTATGCTCTGGTTACGATTCGAAGTCGTCAATAGAGAGGGTAATAACGTGTGTTATTAAATATCCGGGAAGAGTAATCGCGAATAGAAGAAATAATCATTGGGATCGATAATAAAACCGGAACCACAGAAAGATCTATCGGGCCATTATTCACCCTGTTTCTATATTTTTCCTAGATTCCGTAAGGAAAGTGATTACTTTCACGAAGAGGCAAGAGGTGTATACCGTCACAACGTGCCTCCAGTTTCCCTGATCGAACGCTAGACTCGCGGGAGAGGTCAAACCGTCCATCTTCTTGTAAGAGAGGCGCACCACGCCTATGTTAAATCGTGACTCGATCGAGAAGAAGGAAGCGCCGGTATTGTATTAGCGGCCAGGAACAACCTGATGCGATCCTCCGGGGTATTCACGGTGGTTCGTGAATAGCCCGCGGATAAAGAAGCGAGAAATGCAAGATCGACGAACAGCGGGTCGGGCGTTGCGCAATTAACGAGACCAACCGATTGAACTCGAAACTCGTAAGCAACTCGTCGGGTCGACGGGGTCAAATCGAATGATTTTTCGTCACTGAATTCGATCTACAGCTCCCTAGATGTTCGATATCTCGCGCTTATCTTGCGGACGATGCTGCATCGTGCGGACATCGGAGCAACACGCTTGGAGGGTGTTCGATGGAGGGGAATTAGACTTCTCGTCGCTGCCTCGATATATCTACCTATCCGTAGTCGCCTGTTGCCTGGCCTCTTCCACGCTCGAGAGCATGGATTAACGTCCAATATCGTATGATATACCATTTAGGCTATTTCCTTCTTATTTTTCCTCGAATCTTAGAAATCGGATGATTCAGGGGGAAAGTTTTATTTATCGCATATATAGCAATGGAAGACAGAAAAGAAAATGCTGATAGAAGCTTTGGAAGTGGAAATTATCTTGAAAGATAAAGATGTTCACGTATCTTGTTTTGGTAGAAGATTGATGAAAGAGGCGAAATTAAAATGAAACAAATTGAAAATGAAATGTGTACGACGACACATTTCTATGTTAACGAAATTTTCTTTTCCAATTAAATTTTCCTCGGTCGAGGTTCGACGGCGAGGTGTCATTAAGAAATTTACTTGCCTCGTTGAACGACGTACGTACGATCAAAGACAGAATCTTTCCTGTAACGAAGCTTCGCAAGGTAACCGGGAAGTTATTCGCTAAGAAATCCACTATAATCCACTTTGTTCCAGAGCACATCACATTATAACGCCATAACTCGCTCGTGTGATGCAATTTAACTACCACATCATTACTCCCAAAGTTAAACCGGTGTAAGTTGGAAATTACTAGTTAAATTGCATATATCCATGCAAGAGCCGAGAGCGCTGTGTAATCTGCCCATGTGTTTATCTATCGGTAGGTAGTCTGCCATATACCGTGGCCCCTCTCCATCATCGGGATGGTCACGGAGACCATCTTACCCTAATTACCTAATAATCCGAAGCGATGACCTAACTTTGGCCGCGTCTAAGTGGTTTCCGCGTCACAGCAAGTTGAATGATGTATCTATAACTCCGGTAAATTCTAATAGGCATACGCGAAACGCGTACAAACTTGATTATTCCACAATATTCGTTTCCAACAAATAAATATCAATTTTAATATTTCCAATAAAAAAAAAAAGAGTGAAACTTTAAATTAAAATCCTCTTGAATATTCAAATCGAATCAGATGGTTGATTCGAAAAGTTTTACAAGCAATAAATAATAATATCTTTCGTATAAACGGAAATTTAAAAAATTTCGTTAAATGAATCTAAAAAGTGTAATAATTTTTTACTTTTTAACGCAGCAACAATTTCACACACGGTATTACACGCGTAACAAACTCAACCTGACATGATTCCCCTTTTTCTATCCGAGTTCTCCTCCCAATAACAATTTTTCTTTTTTTCCTCACGTAAGCATCTTTATACGAGGACGGAAAACGATCGATGGTACGACAGAATCAATAGATCCCGGATGATCCGCCCGCTGCCATAAACAGATCCTACGAAATCGATACTGATCCCTATTGATCACGAGGACCGCAAACGCGACGCGTCCTCGGTATATATCCTTTTACGAACAGCTCGAGGCTGTCAGGTGCTACCACCGTCAGGACCGTAAAAATGTGCGTATCTGGAGCTGATTTTTCTGAAAACATTCGTGCATCTTGAAAGCCCACTGAATAACCTCCCCTTCTTCTTCTCCTTTTTCTTTCTTCCTTTTTTTTCTTCTTTTTTTCAACCGCGGGCGGTGAAGAGCTTGTTGACTTAAGCGCGTGGCAAATTTCGTCCTTTCAAACGTTTTCCACCGCGAATACGGATTCTCTACCCCACGCTTCTTCGAGGATTACGCCCACGAAATGGTTCTGTGTACTCGTTGCATCGCATTGTTACATCGATCCTTTTTTGTGAACTCTTTTTTTTTTCTTCCTCCTTTCTTTAATATTGATTGAAACTCTTTTAAAATAACTACAGTGACTAACAAAAAAAAGAAAAAAAAAAAGAAAGGAAATTATTTACACACTGTTGTTTTCCTACGAAGCATATTTTTATCAAGCTATATATCAAGCTTTACGTTCAGTTTCGTCAAATTTTTGTATTCATATGAATTCAAAGTTCTATCGAATGAACACGTTCACGAGTCGAACAAGGCTAAACTTGTTAACGTAACTTATGCAACTTATCCACGTGATAAATTAAGAAAATTTATACCAACCATGATTTCTCTTGACATTTTTTTATTTGATTGATCAAAAATTAATACAGTATATAACGAGAACGTGATAAACACGTTTAAGCAATACTAATTTATTTTATCGAATATCCTGAACTTTTTTCCGGGCAATTACGCGTTCGAGTTCGAGACGGTAGACTTTGAGGTAGAGAGAGAGAGAGAGAGAGACTGGAAGTCGAACTTT